ACTGCTGTCGCCACGGCTGCTTCTGGCGTAAATTTTCGGATTTCCGCGACCATAAACCGGCTGTAGCAGCCGTAGCATCGTCACCATCTTCGTCAGCCGCCGCTGCGTCGGCGTCGGCGGCCTGTCCCTTGCCGCCGGACTTTTCTGCCTGCTGATGGTGGTTGTGGTGGTTGTGGTGGATATTCTGGTTGTGAGCCAGGGATGAGGGCGCCACGTAGAGCTGCTGGCGGAAGCGGGGCTGCTCGGCGGGCCCCTCCATGACGCAAGCGGATTGTACGACACCTCGACAGTCGGGGGCCCAGCAGGGGATGCCGGCGGCGGCGGCGGCGCCGTGTCCCCGACCGACGGGTCCCTGACGTGTGTGTATGTGAGAGGGGAGGGAGGGGGAAAGGGGGGGGGGGAGGGGCCGGTAAAGGACGAATTGCCGTACGAGCCGTACGAGCTGCCGTGCATGTGTCGGTAGGAGAGAAATGGGGGGGAATCCAGCAGCCAAGTAAGCGCGAGGCCGAATTGGGGTTTGAGCCCCCGCCAACTCACCTTCAGCCCGTGGTAATCGCTGCGAGCCGCCTTCAGCAGCGTCTCCAACTGCCGCCAACAGTCTGGGTAGTGATAGTCCAACTGACAACCGCCGCTGCAACGAACCACCAACCGCCGCTGTCGGGGACCAACCGCCGACTGGCCGGGGTCTAGCAGGCACCGCACAACCATCCCACCGCCTTTAACATCGCTTGATTCGCCGCTGGCGGCGGCAGCGCTGCCGCCAGTAGTCGCCGCCGCCGCCGCCAGGGGCGTAGACGCTGACGGGACCCCGGCATCACGCTCTGCAGCGGCACTAGTTGACGCTGCTGCTACTGCTACTAAGCGGGAGTCCATAGCGTCGCCGCGCAGGGAACACCGGCAATGGAAGTCCGTCGCCGCCGCCGCGGCGGCGGCGGCGTCGCCGGCCGGTACCTCCGGCGCCGCCTGCGCCGTCGCCCCCGCCGTACTGGCAGTAGCAGGGTCCGTATCCTGATCCATGCCCAGCTTCTTCCGCAGCCGCTGCCGTTCTCTCAGGATGTATTGTCGAAGTTCCGCTCCCGCGTTCTCAGCCACACCAACCTGCGCCGGCTGCTGCGCCGGCTGCTGCTGCTGCTGCTGCTGCTGCTGCATCTGCTTCTTCGCAAGCAACTGCTGCTGCCGCCGCTCCTGCTGCTGCATACGCCGTTGCTCCAGTCGCCGCCGCTCCTGCTGCGCTGCCGCCTCCGCCGCCTGCGCCGCCCTAGCTGCCCGCGCGCGCGCCTTCCTTGCCGCCTTCCCTGCCTCCGCCTCCGCCTCCGCCGCGTCCTCTTCCGCCGACAAGTCCGCCGCGTCACCGCCGCTGACGAACACCCTGACGCCGCCGCCGCCGCCGCCGCCGGCACCGCGCTGGTGATCATTTGACGCCGGCAGCGACACCGCTTCCCGCCACGATGACGACGGCGACGGCGCCGCAATCCTGCCTACCGTGTCAATAAGCTCCGTCGGCGCATCAAACATATTGCCGCCGCCGCCGCCGTCGCCGCCGCCATCGCCGCCGTTGCCGCGCGTGGCGTTCCGGGTGCTTGACACCTCCACGGCGGTGCGAGCAGCTGCGCGGGTCGGTCTGCGAGTACGGGAGCGCACGCCGGCGCCGACGCCGATGCCGACGCCGACGCGACGGCCCGCCGACGCCGCCTCGGTCAACGCGCCGCCCGATGCCGCCGCCGACGCGTTCGTATCGACCGCGCCGCAGGCTTGCAGGCGGTCCATCAGCAAGGTCGTCATGGCGCCGTTGCCCCTTGCGAGAGTCAGGTTTACCAGGCCCCGCAGCATATCCGCTTTAGCCTGCGCAGGAGGATTTTAACGGACAATTCAGTTGGGACGATTGGGTTATGATTGGGTTGTGATAGCAGTCACCATTTGTAGCAACATCAATGCGGACAACAACACGGCAACACGTGTCTAATTTTGTCGACTGCCGTTGTTGGTGAAGTGAGGAGGAAGAGGGACAGGGCTTGGGTGTGTGTATGGGCATCCATGAGGGGTGTGTGGTAAGGGCTTAACACACACATACATACATACGCACACACACACGGGTGGTTCGGGTGGAGTGGGCGCTGAGCCGCATGGTGGGCCACCCCATCCGACCCTTCGCACTCAACATAAGGCTCCGTCTCATTATAAACTGACAGATAAACAGATACAGACAGACAGACAGGCATACAGGCAGGCAGACAGGCAAACAGACAGACAGGCAAACAGACAGACAGACACGCAGACAAAACACAGTGAGACACAGATCACCGAGACACCCTTCCGGCGGTCACCTCGCCAATCCAATCCAATCCAACACTGCACTGCACTCCACTCCACTCCACTCCACTACACTACACTACACCACCCACCCAACCACCTACCTTGGAAAGGGGCGCCTTGCCGGTGTACTCTGCGGCGTCCAGCAGCCGCACAGCCACCCCCCGCCAGCCGCAGCTGATGGCCACGGACAGGGGCGTACAGCCCCCCAGTACGGCAGCCTGATCCATCAAGTGAGTACGGGTGGGACGCGGCTGGCGGCGGTACCACTCGCCCAGCTCGGCGGAGTTCCGGAAGGTGCGACCGGACTGCAGGAAGTCAGGCCACAGAGAAAGGCAGAGGAAACATGGGTGGGTGGGTAAAGGGGAGGAAATAATAATGTAAACAATCCAACGAAAAATAATAACATAGTAATAAAATGAATAATGAATAAAATAATATAAAGAGGACAATAACATGACAATTAGACGGTATGTAGGGAAAGGCAAAGCCGGACCGGTCTGTCCAAAAGGCCAGGAGCTGCCAACAACTGCCGTACTGCCGTACTGCTGCGAGGTCAGGGGTATCAACAGGATTCGGGGAAGGGAGGGCGGTCAGAGAAGTGAGAGCCATGATGGTACGTATGTACGGCAGCTCCTTGACGAGCATTCTTGTCATGAATATCCCCCTAGCAGCCATGAAGGCACATACCTTCGTATTCAGCGCACTGCGCAAACATTGGAGATATTTAGGGAGGAAGGGTTTTAGGGTTTGCAACACCTTCCCTTCCCTCCCTC